TCATCTTTATGAGTATGACTACTCTGATTTCTGTTTTCCTCTTTTCCCTTTTCTTCACCTGCCTTGTGGTATCTCCTTGCGTCTCCAGGTGTGTTTTCATGGTCTCTTATTTTATTTTTGAAGAATTGATACCTAGAGTTTAGGTGAAGAATTTGGGATTGTGGCATGCTTTTAAAATGATTTGGTAGGCCAATGGCGCTCTGTGCTTGTTATATTTTTGTCCTGGGACTTCTTTTCATCGGCCTACCATTTTGCATGTTGGGATTGTATGCGTGCTTGTGTGGCCTATGTGTGGTGAATGGCCGATTGGTGGATATTTGGGATCAGATTATGTGTTTGTTCACCGAGGGCCTAGTCTACTTCCCAAATCGCTTGATTTGAGGGCCCCCAGTGTGTTTGTTTGTGTGATTATGATTTTGATTGGTATGCTTGTTCCACCTGGAGCCTAGTCCACTGTCCATGTCTTTCGATGCGAGGGCCCCCGGTGTGTTTTTCGCCTAACATTGACCCTGTTCGCTTGTGTGGCATTTGTACATCCTTTTGCTATGCAGGATCATGGAGGCTTACCTCAACCAATTGAGCATCACGCAACGCCACCTGCTGCGGACCAATCGTACCGGCCATATCTCCGAGCACCTGCATCTCAACTTTGGGGTGTTCGAGGTGCTTCACGCTCGGCCGCAGATGGAGGCCGCTGTTCGCGCCTATGGTTGGCGGCGCCTTCTCTGCCTCGCCGAGCCAACCTACCAGGAGCTCGTCTTGGAGTTCTACGCCTCATTTTCCCACTCCCAGAGGAGGTCGGCCGACCATGCTGATGCATTACATTTCACACTCGGTGGGGTGGCGCACTCCATCAGTTACGGGGAGTTGGCCACTGCACTTAGGCTCAACTCCCCACACCCCAGCGACCGCCTCTTGATCTTGGAGGTGACCGATCCCACCATATTTGGTGACCAGGCCTACTTCCAGCGCATCTGCCTACCGGATTATGCGGATGAGCAGTACATCGCCAGCCAGACTCGGGCCACTCTCCTCCGTCCGGAGTGGCGGATCCTCAATCACCTTCTCACCCCAGTCCTACACTCCCAGCCGAGGCTCGGCCAACCGGGTCACCCTCTGGACCCTGTACTTCATGAACGCGATGGGTCGGTCGGAGGACACTATCGAGCTAGGCTCTGTGATCGCCCGTACATTCACCAAGGCCTGTGCCAGCCAGGATCGCCACCTTGTCTGTGGCCCGGTGATCACCGCCCTGGCCCGCTACTACGGGGTCGACACTACTGGGATTACCATGGTCCGTGCAGCAACCCTATTCAGTGAGGCCACCCTCCGACATCAGCACACGCTTGTGCAGGAGGGGCATTTGGCATGGATTACAGGTCTACCTCGGGCGCTTGCACCTGATCCTGCCGGGGACGACCATCCAGAGTCGAGCGCTGCTGGGGGCGCAGGGTCCCGCGCCGTCCTATTCGCCGTACCCAGGCCCTCGCGAGCCCCTCATACGCTGCTCCTGGATCTTCCACTCCCGCGGTCTCCATTGCTGACCAATTGGCGGCCAATCCTCAGTAGAACGAGCGCATTCTGGCCGGCCAGGAAATCCTTCACACCCGCTTCGATCGTGAGAGGGACCGCGGCCGTCATCTTATGTCCGGCCAGCACTACATCATGTCTTACCTGGGCCTGGACCCAAACTCTGCCCACAACCCCTTCGTGCAGTCACCGGGGAATGAGGACAAGTACCCCCCACCCACCGGGGATGGTGGCGATGTGCTCTAATGGCGAGTGGCTGGTTCTGTACTTCATTTCTTTTCTAGACTAAGACTCCATGTTTTTTTTTTCTTTCTATTTGGTTCTTTTGGATTGTAGAGATGGAATTCCGGTTCTTTCACCTAGTGTAAGTCTTTTGATGACGTTAGCTCTGTGCCTTGGACCGGTCCCTCTTCCAGTGCCCTACTATTGACTGGTCTGCATCTTCATTTCACGGTAACATCGTTCCCCTTCCCTCGGCTCCATTGAGGACACTGTCGCATTTAAGTGTGTGTGTGTGGGGGGGGGAGGGTTCTTTGTATTCATTGGAACATATATATGTGTGCTTGGAGCCTAGTCCGCTGTCCAAATCAACTTGATTTGAGGGCTCCAAGTATTGGCACTGTGGATTTGATTGGTGAATCGAATGGGTTTCGAATTAATGCATGACAACTTGATTGTAACTAGGACAGCCTATAATGATGACTAAGACGTGCAGTAGAATCGTGTAGGGGTTCAGTTTTTCAACTGTTTGCTTACCAACTGTGACTTGGATTGATCACTTGCTCTTGATAGTCGTTTATGAAGCTAGTTCAGGGAATCAAAATGAGAGATAGAGCATATAGGTAGCCATGTGAGATTTGAGCCTGCTCGTTTCTTTCTTGTGCGATAGATCCCTCTTCCATGATATGTAGCATTCACGTTGTCACTAGCTAGGATCATGGAGGCATATGGTTAGCCAACGACCAAATTGACTGTCATGGTGTGGCATACCCCCTAGTCAGCCCCTTTGAGCCGTGTCACTTTTTTTCTTTCGGTTTGTAATGGAAAATCACCCTTTTGCATCTCTTAGAAGGTTCCATAGAGTGGTTTTTGCATGTTCTCTGTTGTTTCTGCTAAAAATAATGTGAGGGTTGGAGGTAATGCTTAAATTGGGCATGTGTTTGAAAAATGTGCAGAGGTGGTGGTTCTCTCGAGAAATGAAAAAAAAAAGATGAATGAAAGCAAAAGAGAGCCACTACCCAGAATTCTTAATCATGCTCGTTAAGTAGTGTTTCTTATCAGTCTGGCTTGGAAATACTAGCATTTATGTGACCTCCTTCGCTCTTGTGCTCTAGAAAATTTGAGTAATGCAGAATGGCAGAAAGAAAGTAAGTGGTTTGATTGACTGTGATTGTGGTGGGTTTGGATATGTGGAACCTTGTGTTATGAATGCTTCCACCGCCTAAAAGGCCTTTTCCCCATGTCCAAGACCCTAGCCAGTCATTTGAACCTGAGTCTAAGACCTCCGGATTAGTTAGTGGTGACACCCAATATGTGAACTCTAATATTTAGAGGATGCCTTCATGGTGAAGAGACGTTAGGTATTGAGAGAATAAGCATGCGCATTTTTCGCATCAAATTGTCCTGACCCCACTGGTCGAGAGTGATCGATTTATTTTCTCATATTCTCTATACTCTTTACCCCGGTGAGGACCTAGATTGCTTGGTGTTAATCCTGATATCTTGAGTTTTGTGTATGAAGTGACTGTCTTGAATAAGTGTTTGAGTCAAGTCTATGTTGGTTGGTAAACAGAAGGGAGACTCTTCCTTTGCTCGACTTCGTTGCACTCGTATGTCATCTGTGGTGGTTGTCTATGTTGTCGTTGAGGTTGTCCTGGTGTTAATGATCAAAAGCTAGTAGGATTCACGTGTTTTGTGCCGATATGATATGTCCCTAAAGCCTGCTTGATTAAAACGTTTTGAGCTTACCTTGTGTCTGACTTGGTTTGCTTGGGGACAAGCAAACAGTTAAGTGTGGTGGAATTTGATAACGATGTATTTGCACATGTTTGAACCCTTAGTTATTATCCGTTTGCGGCTCGTAGTCGCGTATTTTTGGCCTATTTTACGCTGGGTTGTGCTACTTTGTCATATTTCTGGTCCCAGACGTCGAAGGAAAGGCTAAGCACGAGATTCGAGGCGTTTGGAGGTCATTCGGTCGAGTTGGGGGCAAAACACAGGCAGGAGGCCTAAAGAACACGGCCGTGTACACAAACGAGCACGCCAGTGTTTTTATGTGCGAGAGCTGAACTGATGGAAAAGCAAAACACGGACAGGAGGCCTGAAGAACATAGTCGTGTTCCTGACCGTGTTATTTATGTCGAGGCTTGATTGAAGGGAGCTGTTGTGATATCCAAAACACGGGCGGAAGTGAAGCAAAGCACGATCGTGTCATTCTTTAGGCACGACCGTGTTTAGGCCAACGCGGGCATGTTTTTAACACGTGGCGTGGGCACGGACGGGCAAATGACAAACACGATCGTGCCCTCGACCGTGTTTTGCCCAGGATCGAATTTTTTAGGCAGATTCGAGCCAAAAGAGGGGGGAATCGACTTTTTGGAGTAAAAACAGAGTTTTAGAGAGAGAAAGTGCGAAGAACAAACCCTAGGATCTATTTGGAGTGGATTTCTTATCATTGAAGCCCAGATTGCATCCAGGAGTGAAGATCAATATCCCAGAGCAGTTATCCTCATCTTTATGAGTATGACTACTCTGATTTCTGTTTTCCTCTCTCTCTCTATGGAGTAGAACCTTCTCTCACTTAGGTATGAAGAACCCTAGTTCCATGTGCTAGGGATCTTGATTGTAATGACTTGGGATTGTTATACTGATTGATATTAATCGAGTAATGCATGATTAATTGAGTCAATTGAAGTCTGATCATCTTTTCTTGATTTCGGCTGCAACCTGAGATAGATAGAATCTGATTAGGTTGTTAGAGCTTCATCAATCGGTAGTGGTAGATAGATTATACGTGAGTCAATCGATTTACTGCTTTGTACTGGAATCCAATTCCATTAGTGGAGTTCTGCGTTCAAAGCCTCAGCTTTTTATCCCGGTGAAGACTAGTCATCTGCCGGGTAGTTGGACTGAGAGGGCTTGGTCAGCTTAAGATATTCCAAGCTACTGTCGGATCTTCCACAGTTTAATCAACAGTTAATCAACCCAGGGTAATTACAACTGTGACCTAACTAAGGAGCTAAGGGGACACATTCCCGAGTGACTCTTCCCTTGCTTTAGAAAACCGAACCATTTCCTGCTTTCTTACTGCTTTTAGTTAAAATCACATTCACTCGACTTAGTTTGCTAGATAATAGATATTCACGGAGTAGGCAGTAGATCTAGACCCCGAGTTGACAAATAGAGCTTGCCTGTTACTGCATTTCCGGACTGCGATTACACTTGGTCGCAGTTTGGTGTTGTGTTTTAGCATGTCAAGTGCCATACCCGATCAGGCAACACCAAATGATAATGGTGGATCAGAGCAAGAAGTCAATGATGATGGTGCACCTCCAGTTCAAGAACCAAGAAGATATTACTCTCAACACTCTAGCTACAGGCTGTCAAAGGACTCTGATCATGTTAGGGGCAATCTTTTGGATGAGGATGGTGGAGAGCCATTTGGGGATGCTCCACACTACGATCCGCTTTGTGATCACAAGCAGTTTCAATTTATTCCAAGGTTAAAGTTTGGAAGTCCAGAATAGTTCAAGAGCGACGTTGTCTTACATTCTATGGTTGTTGGTGCTAGTTTGAGATGGGGTAAGAGCACACCATCAAGAAAAGATGTCATATGCAAGGACAATAGATGCAAATGGAGGGTGTTAGCTAGTTGGTTTAGGAAGAACTAGAGTTTCATGGTGAGGAAGGTAGGGCTGCACCATTCTTGTTCACGTAGGATGCGGGTGAATCAAGTTACTGCAAATTGGATTGCATCTTATATGCTTGAGAGGTTTCGCATCAATCCACAGTGGAATCCAGACTAGATCATTGCAGAAGTCAAGCTCAAGTACACATGGAAGTGGACAAGAGAACCTGTTATAGAGTAAAGGTGGCTGCGATTCGACTGCTTAGTGGGTAGTTGACGGTTGAGTTTCAGACAATCAGAAGCTATGTGGCTGAAATCATGAAGAGGATCGACATGGGAGGTTTGTTTTGGAGGTTCAACCACATCCTACTGAAGACAAAGTATGTTTCCAGAGGCTGTACGTAGGGTTTTCAAACTTGAGGGATGGGTTTGTGGATGGATGTCGGCCACTGTTTCGCTTGGACAGTTGCTTTTTAAAGGGAGAGGTGAAGGGGATGTTGTTGACTGCAGTAGGGAAGGATGGAAACAACCAGATGTATCCACTGGCTTGGGCTGTTGTTGAGAGTGAGAATGCAGATTAGTGGAGGTGGTTCATAAAAATATTGTCTCAAGAGTTAAATAAGTTGGATGGAAGGGGTTGGAGTGTTATCTCTTATCAACAGAAGGTAAATTCCCACCATTCATGTTTTATAACCTCAATTTCAGCATCTATGTCATTGTTTTACTTGTTTGTATTTCTGACTTAATTGTCTTGTGTCTTTTGATAAGGGTCTGGTGGGTCTCTGCATGATCTGTTGCCTGATGTTGAACATCACAAGTGTGCAAGGCACGTTTATGCAAACTGGAAGGTGAAGAACAAGACTGATAGGGTAAGAAAGTTATTCTGGAAGTGTTTCTATGCTTGCAATGAAGTCGACTGGAAGAAAGCCACTAAAGAAATGGAGGAGATCCAAGGTACAAACACACTGACTACGCCCTATACAGACTTTATGAATGTTGAACCTAGATTCTTTTTCCAAGATTTCCTATCTCCGGTTCCTAAATGTGACTCAGTGGAGAGTATCATTGGTGAAACATGGAATGGATCGATCATTAAGTGGAGGGGCATGAGAATCATAGATACGTTTGAGGGTATCCGGGGGTACATGATGGAAAGAATTGTAAAAAAGCACAAAATGCTAGCTGATTGTGATGATGATCTGTGCCCTAGAATTAGAAAAAGAATCGAGAAATAAAAGGCCCTAGCTAGGTTGTGTACCCTAGGTAGACTTTGGAGGATAAGTGCGAGGTAAGACTGGGGGAATCGGGGTACATTGTGGACCTTCAGACAAGGTCATGTACCTGCGGGTACTGGGCCCTAAGTGGACTCCCCTATTGCCATGATGTCTCAGAAATAACTCACCTAAGGAAAAAAGTGGATAACTACGTTCATCCGGCCTACCATCGTCGAGAGGTTGTCAATGCATACAAGGTGGGTATTCCTTGTCTAGATGGAAGGAAATCATGGCCATAAGGGGTAGGATACCAAGTACTCCCTCCAAAGGATAGAAGAATGCCAGGAAGGCCAAAGAAAAATAGAAGAAAGGCTGCTCACGAGTCTGAGGTTCGACCTCAAGCAACCGGGATAGGCGAAGAAGTGTCAAGGAGGAGGACCATAATCCACTGTTCTAAGTGTGGTGTAGAGGTCCACAATGCAAGGTCATGCAAAAACCCCTCTGTTGCCCAAGTCCCGGTGAGTTTTACTTTCATACCCTTCAATTTCAATGTATAGCTGATGTGGATTTCCAGGGAAGCCAGCCACCAGTCACTCAACCGTATATGTGGCAGAACATAGTCGATCAACCTTTTGTCAACCCCATTTTGTCAACTTCTAGTTAGAATAGCTTGAATTCGACTCGTGTTATGTATTGGGGTGCTAAATTAGGCTGTGTAAGGAACAAATTAGTTTGTGCTAAATTCGGATTATATATATGTAGTGTAAGGAACAAATGTTTGGTTTTATATTGCACCTTGTTGTTGTTAGTATTTTCAAGTTCTCCACTCATCACTTTATACAAACATGTCATATTTGAACATCTTATAAGACAGGAAACACAACCATTGCATTAAACAAGTAGAATTTGTTAACAAGTACTACCATAACCCCAATTACATCTACATACCAAATTCGTACCCTCACAAAACAAGAAGGAAAGAGGCATTCACAACAAGAAGAATTGTTAACTTAATATGAATAAATCGAACATCATCATTCAATCTCCTTCATTGGGCTAACATAGTCTCACGATCTTTCATCCACACCATCATATCTTGAGCTAGTCTCTTTTTCTCCTTCTTCCTCCTCTCTGCCTTAGACTCAGCGAGACGCAAACTGTCCTCAAGTTGGCATATTAAACCCCATAGCACCCTTTCGGTCCTCCATTTCATCACCAACCATCTCAATCCACCTAAAAAACCGACAATTTTTCTTCCCTGGATTTTCACTCTCATTCTACACCATCCATATGGTTTAGTTAGAAATCAAACAGTCAAAGGGACTGAAATAACTCGATAATCAATCTATCCCTTACCTGCTTCCAATAAGGACATTCGTAAAATTGCCTGCCTGGGTTAGTCTCGAGCGACGTCTTAATCACGGCGGAAACGCTGTGCTTGCAAAACACCGTCCCACACCCGCTGACATTGGTCGCTGAGGAAGAGCCACATTGTGACATCGCTGCAAATCGAGAAAATGAAGGGAATTTTAGAACGACAGATTCCGTCCTCATAAGCGTTCCGTCAAACAATTTAACGGAGTCATAGACGGTGTAAAAGTTTCTAACGGTTTTGGCTAGATTTGTCACACTACCCTCCGATTTTTGGGCTATTTCGTATTTTTGAATAGATATGGCTATATTTTTAAAAAATGTTATAGTTATGGCTATATATGTGCATTTTTCCTTTATTTAACAAAGTCTTGTGCCCAGTTAACAAATTTGATTTCATTTTTTCTTTCTTTTTTAACTAGCTTTAAGTCTGGCCCATTGGCCAGATATAGTAGCAACAACTATGGCACCCTAGCCTCGTATCATTTTTGTCCAAACATTGTGTCCATTTCCATCGACCAATCAGAAGAAAGGTTGCCACTTCCTTTGGCGACATTCTTACTGCTTGCAGCTATAAACCACACCTAGTAGGGATGAACCAAAAGACTATAACCCGCCCCACCGGTCCAACCTAACCAAACTCACCTGTATTTTTCGCTAAAACAAAGATTTAAGGTTGGGTGAGGGTTTTCTTTTGTGGTACCCGCATTTCTTTGGTTGGGTGCACATTTATAGGTTATCTAACACGTGTTATAACAGTTGTGCTATGTGTTCGTATCCAAAACATATGTATGTTGTATACAAGCATATTTATGAGGGAATTGAGATATTTTGTCATATTAGATGTATATAATATAGGTTATATGGTTCACATTATTTTTTGTGTGTATACAATGTTAGAAGAATAACATATTATGGATGTATGATCTGTCCTGCAGTGTAGAACAAATTTACCTGGCCCAAGGTTGTCAACTCGCGGGTTGACCCAGACCTGATCGAGCTAGTGGGTTAAGGGTTAATGGATCATCCGTTTTAACCTGACTTGGTTCGATTTAGCCCGGAAATATGAAAATAATCATTATATTGTATTTATCCGGAATCTAACATAGAAAAAATGCAACACACTTAAATGCAATTCTTCTTTCACATCAGCGATCCAAATTTACAAATGATTATTAACAATATCAACTGTTGCTTTTCCCAATATAAAACACACCTTGGATAAAGAATGCAACCATCAAAGTCAAAAAAAAAAAACAAAAACAAAAACAATTCATCCTATCTTCATAAAGGAATCGAAATGGACAGTCACATATAACTAAGGTAATCGATATAGAATCTAATGAGGACAAACAATACCAACTTACAACAAAACATCCTAACAACACTAGAGCACCATAGCCACCATACACGCTACCTCAATCACAAGAATAGCTTGAAAATTGTATGACAATCACCTAGATTAGCCATTCGTTGCTTTCTCCCTGTGCTAGGTGGCCGCCCTCTACGCTTAGAGGGGCTCAATCGATCTTTCTCTGAAAATTTACAATTCTCGAAGGCCCGGCCTGTGTTGAGAAGACCTAGATGCAGAGGAAGGTCGAGCTCAACTAGGAGGCAGAGGAAAAAGCCCGCCCAACTCGGAGGCAGAGGAAGGCGGTCTGTAAAGTAGGGAGCCCAACCTTTGGACAGAAGACGGAGGCAGGGGCGACCGAGCTCGAGGCAGGGGAGAACGAATACGGGCGAGGCAGAGGAAGACTGATCGTGCTTTAGGTGTATGTATTGGCGGCCGAGCTGGGAAGACCGAATCTCCCTGACGACCTGGAGCGCGCCGCCGATGAAGGGAGAGAGAACTCTAGCGTGGTTGCTGTTGAGAAAGCTGAACTGAACATAACATAACAATAAAACGACACACAGATTTACGTGGTTTCTCAATAACGGGACTAGTCCATGGGATAGTTAGAACTCTCCGAGCTGAAATATTATTAGGTTTTTCTTAGTCACTCTACACGTACAACTTTGTTGCAATACACTATATATATATGGTGGCTTCTATGGTACCCCGGGTGAAATTCGGGGTACCGCATACCTCGAGTATGGAAACTCTATCTAGACCTCGAATTATCATGATTTTTGTGTCTGATATTATACCCTAACCCTTAATGAGTGAACCCTAGGTCATAATTATCTAAATCATAATCTATAAACCCTAAGATGGTGCACTCCTTTTTGTGCCTATATTTGGATGAATCATAACCGTCGATTATTATTTCTAATTAAATTGATCTTGGAATATAATATTGGGAGAGTTAACACCTAGATTTTGATCTTTAAGTGTTAGAGTATAGTATCATGTCCGAAAGATCGGTCAATTCAAGGTCTAGATAGTGTTTTCATACTCAAGGTATGCGGTACCCCGGATTTCACCCAGGGTACCGTAGAACTCGCCATATATATATATATATATATATATATATATATTCCCCTAGGGCATTCTACATACACCGTCCCAAGGGGAGAAGGAAACCTCAGTTCCTAGTTCGGCCAGCTGCCCAAGATAGGCTCCGAACAATGGGCCTAACCCAACACCTAGACCCGTTAACAGTTGCGGGAGCGAAGTGGGAGCAGAGCAGGAGACAACTTTGGGACTACTACAATGGAAGGACAAGGGAGCGGGTAGGGTTTCATTGCTCTGCTTCTTGCTTTCACCCCAGCAAAAGATGCCACACAAGTTGAAACGCCACACAGAAGGAGTAGCCCGCTGACCAGGACTGACGGGCTAACCGCCTAGGTTCCATCGGGTTTGACCGAGTTTCAGCGGGTTTGACCAATTTCGTGCTGCTATTGAAATGGGTTGGTGTAGCCCATTTTTAAGGACAGTTCCGGGCCGACTCGCGGGTTGACAACCTTGACCTAGCTCTAAGTCCATAATCGTATTTCCTAGGCCTTCTTGCAGAACCCTTACTTCTGAAGCGAGGTACGATTCTATGGAAGTAGACATCAATTTAGGAGGTTGAGGTTCCACCGGTTTGGCAAAACTTAGGCATTTGAAACGTACAAGCGAATGCAGAAAAGTAAATCTACACTATTGAAGAAGTGAGAGACATAGAAGGAAAGAGTTGCATAGGCATTGTTCCCCCTAAGTCTCCTAACAACTCGCCCTTGATGATCGGAGCATAGGATCTGCCAATTTCTTATTTTCTTAGATCCCACCTTGTGTCGAAGCATTTACCTGAACTAATGGGCGACAAGGTCCCTTCGAATTTATTCATTTACTAACGACTAGGATTCCGTGTCTTGCACCTCGAAGTAGTGCAAGATCTACTAAGAAATCATTCAAATCAACAAATTAAGAAATAGAGAAAATTAAGCATCACACATATGAAAAACAAATAATCTTATTAACCAAATCATCCAGTTTACAAGGCTTTAACCCCTAGAGTTCACATACCTACGCAACTAAGGAACATTGTCGACCATGGGGAGGTTGTCCTGGGCGTTCATTGTTGGAAATGAAGACTCTAAAGCACCACTAGAATCGGCGGGCATAACAGGGAAAATGGGTCTAGTGGCGCCGATTTTGCAACTGATTCTCCTTTGAAGTTGGTTTCACTCTAAGTCAGGAGGAGACTATGTCGGCAGAGTAGTGACACTTTCTTGACCTCTCATCCCACTCCTCTCGATCTCTAGCTCTATAAATATATTTATAGGTCTTCAATTAGGCTTTCTAAGGAGAGATAATGTCCACTACTTCATTATTCGACCAAAATATTCCACATTCGTGACCAGTGAATCATAATATTTTTAGAAAACTTCCTGGCAAAGTAGACGTCTCTTCCAAAATAACGTTGGGTCCGCCTTTTTCCTTTAGTAAAATGGCATCTTGTGTACCTTTTTCATTTATCTCGAGTCGTCGAATTCTCTCACCAACAACTTGGGCTCAATATCCCCTACTGGTTCCAAGTGGCCCACAAGGTTGCTCAGTGCTGAAAATGCACAAAATGCTACCCAAAAGTGTATCAATTGTATAAAATCAATCATAGGTTTGCTAGAATGCACTTGAAGCAACCACATCAATAGTCAATGCATTATGACGACAATGATGGGAAATGTAAGTACTTATTGGCACAATACAGGGGTCTAGAATAGATAGTTTCTCGTGTTATCAATAACCCCACACTTGAACTTCGCTTGTCTTCAAGCAAATCTAGGTTCAACATCCTTCTCCTTACTAGATATTCGCGATGACACGTGACTTTCAATTTTGGGTAGTGGATCATAAGAAGCTTACAAGGTCAACCCTTACACTTAGAAACCCGTGATCATGGCAATTATGCTCAAACATACTTCATAAGAAGGAAATTAATAGCTTCTCACAAGATGGAGTTCTTGTTTTTTCCCTCGAGTCTACTTCTACAAATGGTGGGGAGAATCCTATGCGGATTGATTAGGAAGTATTTGCATACCTTCCCACATAAGTCATTTTGGACATTTTTCACATTAAGACGATATTGCCTTTCCACATTGCCCTTTGCGTGCCACTTTATACGCAGAAGGGGGTTTGCGCTTTGTACTTTGCTATTTAGCAAACTTGATCAAGCAAGAGCACTTTTTCAGCTCCTTTTCCTCGATCGTGCAGAAGGTCAATGTAGTCAAGGGATATCAGAAGCTTTATTCGTGCCCTCAAAAACACATTCTTAAGTTAGCCATCTTATCATACAGGTGGAAATTTTACTTGTACTAGAGAGGAACACCATCATCTCGTAGGCCTGCCCCACCAAGACTAAACTAGTACCTCTTCCAAAATGTGGTTTTTTCCAAGGATAGGACGCCTCACACTTGTCTTTTACCTCACACTTTATTTGCGACGGCATCATCTATTAATGTGGATTGCATGTGGTAGGATATCGATTGTACAAAACTACTATCAACACCATTCTTGCTTTAAGCGCAGAAGATTATTCCTTCCTTTTAGGAGGAGTTTGAGAACTCAAAAGGAATGGTAGGAAGCACCAATCCGTACGTTTTTCTTAAGAAGGATCCAAGTTACATGACAAGGACATCCTTCATAGCCCCTACACTAGCATACTTTAGATCACATATTCACACAAAGACTAGCAATTCAAAGTATG